CGAGAGAGAGAGAGAGAGAGGAGGGGAGGCGAAGGAGGAGGTGACGAAGACGAGGAACGGAAAAAACAGTGTCACGGAAGGGGACGTGGGATAATTGACGAGGAGGATTATCCGATTTCTGCGGGGATGGAAACAATTAATCGCGCGCGTGATGATGGCGAAATGCGGTCATGAAACGTGGTGATCAATCGGAAATTTAACGGGGGTAACCCACCTGTCGCGAGCGGCCGCTCGTCGTCGACTGTCCGTCCAGAGGAAGCGCCCGCGTTTCCTCTCCCCTTCCACGATCGGATAAATTTATTATCAGGCTGAAATTTCTTACGTAACGGAGGCGATAAAAGAAAGGAAGATTCGCGGCGAACTTTGTTTCGCGACGAAAAGAGGAAAAGAATTATTCACGAAGAGTTTGATATCGATTCTTCTTTTTCGATCGATATTTAAATTTTTCTTCCAATACGGCGCGTTTCATTCTGTAAACTTGGACTGAATATATTATTCGTGCTGAGAATATATATATATATATATATATATTCGTGTTACGCGTTAGATCAGATTGAAATTCCTTATGTAACGGATAAAAATAAAGGGAAATTGGGGAGGGAAGTTTGTTGCAACGAGGGCAAACATTCTCGAAGAATTTGATATTTTTCTTGATCTTAAATTTTTTCCACGGCCAATATGACACGTTTAATCCTGTAAACTTGGAGTAAATATTACTCCAACGTGCTAAGAATACGTTCGTGTTACGTGTTATATCAGATTGAAATTCCTTATGTAACGGAGGCGATAAAAATAAGGGAAATTGGTGGGAACCTTGTTGCAACGAGGAAACATTCCCGAGGAATTTGACGTTTGATTGATTCTTCTTGGCGATCGAAGTCCGAAAGATCGATACAATGCTGATTTTAAATATTTCGGTTAACCTCGAAAATAAATATTATTCGTGCTAAGAATAATGTAACTCGTGTATGTTACTTTTATCGAGATAAATCTTTTGATAACAAATCGTCGAAAATCACGCGTGTTCGTTGTGAACGGACGAGTAATAAGAATCAGATAAGAATTAATAAGAATCCGGCGAGAGAGGATAGCTAGGCAAAGAAATTGAGAAAAGAAAATGTGTACCGCAAAAAGATTCGAATTATGCTATTATCCTTGATCCGAGTCGATCTGAGAGAACGATTTCCTAGAAATCGGCCTCCGTCGAAGATGGATTACGGTAGAAAAACTGTGCAAAATTGAGGGAGAGGGTTGGTCGGGCAAAAATAATTTTCGGAGGCATTTAACGATCCTCAGGTTCTTCGCCTTAGGATACTTCTTACCTGACTCAGTTTCTCGTTGTCCTTCGAACGAGTAACATCTCTTGCATCGAGATTCAATAGTAGTGAAGCGCGACCTTGTGCGATCCTTGATCCCCATATCGATTGGAAATTTTGTATGTATCATTTGGTTCAATTATTAAACAAAATTAATTATTTCGATGGAATAAGCGGGAACGAAGTGGATGACTCCTCGAATTAATATCCAAAGCGCAATCGGTTGTAATCGATGGATAATGGTTGAAAAACTCGTTTAAAATTCCTCGTGAACGCGCGTCTCGTTCATACATCGATACATCGATCTCATATACATATTTTACCATCGAAGTCAATATAATAGGAAAATAAAGTGAATATTTCTAATTGCTTGCTACGATTTAATCGATTCGCAAATTAACATTCGAGCGCAATCGGTATAATTGATGGATAATGGTTGAAAAACTCGTTTAAAATTCCTCGTACCTGCTCTTTCTCTATAGAAAGTGAGGTTAGAACGTTCGAAGAAGTTGTTCGAATATTATTCCCAGAATTCGCTTCGCAAATAAAAAAAACAAAAGGAAAAATGGATGTATAATTTGGGGCACAAGAGAGAAAATAATTGACGCGATAGAACAGCCATCCATAAATTGTATCGGCCGAGAATCTCTCTCTCTCTCTCTCTCTCTCTTCTTTCTCTCGATGCAACAGCGTATATTACGAAATCGTGGCTAATTAACGAGTTAACAAACTTTGCAACATCCCGCTAAAACGATTGCAAAATCGGTGCTCGGTGAAATTGCGTTTTCACCCGCTGTTGAAATTAAAATCGATATTGTTGCGCGTCTATACGCGCAGCACGCGTATTATGCATATTACTTAGAAGAGGGGGGGAGGGAGAGGAGTAGAAATTGAAAAATAAAAGTGTTTTCACGCGTTGCTCGTAGAAATACATAAATAAATAATTGTAACGCATTCACGACTCTTTTTACGATTCCGTTTTATTAACGATGATAAGAATATAATCAGAATTTTTTACGATCGTCATCGTTGTTGTTCCTATTACGCACTTGTCGAAGCGTAATTTTTCTATTCTTCCATTCATTCGAATCTTCGTCTCCCGAAGATCCTCTCCCTGAAAAAATATCGACGCGTCACGATTCTCTCCCTCGAGAGAGAGAGAGAGAGAGAGAGAGAGAGAGATCGAAATTGTCAACGAATAACGGCAAGCGGCGTGGTAAGGCGAGAAAAGGATATACAGGCCGCCAACAGACGTCGCTAGGCGACGGTAGGGCGTCCTGGCGCATTGACAAGATTATTCTATATTCTTAGTCTTAGTGTGTCGCTTAATAAAGCCGCGACTGTGATCGAGTAACGATCCACGCAAGACGAACGTCGTGGAACATCTTCCTTTGCCGGAAGATGAGCGCATTGTATTCCCCTTGGACTGTGTATCGCGATAACGTGTCATCGTTTATGTCGTTATATCGTGTCATTAGAGTGAAACGTTACGTAAAAAACGATATCCCTCGCCTCGTCCCTTTATCGTGCTCGTGAAACCATGTGAAACGGAACGAGTGGAAGCCACTCGCGCGCTCGCATCGAGATAAAGAACGATCCGACACGAAAACGTGTTCACGATGATGCGTGAAATCTCGTCTCGACAAATCGTTCCAATCGTTACTTTTTCCTCCTCCTCTCCCGAACTGTTTCTTTCTCGCGGTTTGTTTATCGAGTTTGATCGATGATTTGATAACGTACGCGTTATCGACGTAAGATAAAAACGTGATCGTTGTTTAGACGAGCACGAGATAAAACGAGGTTAATAATTACGAGTTTTCTTTCAAGATTAATCAGCAGAACGGCGAAGAAAGAGGCGCGATTCGTTCTCCCGATAAAGCGAGGATTAATTATTAATTAAATGCGTAATTATTTTTTTCTTTTTTCCCTCGGGTCGCGTATCGAATGAAACGAGACGATCGATCCCGATCGCGTTTAAGATCGCGTCGATAATTACTTTGATTGAAATTAATCAGATAATCGCGTCTTTTTTTCTTTCTTCTTCTTTTCCCTCTTTTTCCCTCCCCCCTTTATTTTTCTTTTTTTCTTTTTTCTCGTCAAAGGAACGAAAATAAATAGTCTCGAAATCTCTTTCGATCGATTCATTTCGCTTTCTATTTTTATTTGCGAAGTGCA